TGAAACACGATAAGGAAGACAATTAATATTTAGTTCTTTTTTTCTCTTTCCTTAGATTTTGATCACAGTTCTGGGCGTTACGGCCGCAACTACTGGAGTGGTCTTGACTGTTTTTGTCATTATAATCGAATGGAAACATGAGAATCAAACATGGGATACGAAAGTGGCTGTCATCGGTGGAACGTTCATTTTGCATGTGGCATTACCAATAGCGTCGACTATCCTTAATGCACTACTCATTCCGAGAAAGTAAGTAAGAAAAAGATTGTCTTAACTTTCACTAACTGCTGATAATCCTCATGCTACAGCTGGCATAATTGATTTTCAAGAGTCTGTTTATTAAAATGGAAGAATGTATGACTTTGATTCAGAGATGGGCAAGTCAAGTCAAGTCATTTTTGACTTGTCTTGACTTGACTTGAAAAATTTTTAGATGACTTGCGACTTGACTTGGACTTGTAAAAGGAAATTTTTGATGACGCATGACCTGACTTGACTTTCCTTTTTCATTTTTTGAATTGACTTGACTTGACTTGTGACTTGACAAAAAAATACAAGTCAAGTCAAATATATTTTTGCACTTAAATACATGTTAGATTTGCATTATGTAAAGTTATTTTTTGTTCTTATATGAAAGTTCTGTTCTTTTCTTCTTCATACCTATCGAATCGAGAAGTGCGTTTTTTCATCATCGCATCACACCAAACAGCCTAGACTAATTAAAGATGAAGAAAGATATTGAATTTGTGTTGTTACGTAGAAACGCCAGTCACATTTCTTAATTTAATTTAATTTCGTCTAGGCTGTTTTGGATCTATATCTGAATTGTGATTATCAAGTAAGCGAGAAAATATTTAACATCGTAATTAGCAATAACATAGGCAATATAAAAGTGAGGGTGATTCATACGCAACGTATTGTATTAATACATTTAAATTGTTTCCAACTTGTATTATGACGAATATGAGTGATTTAATTTCAAAAGTTTATCTCCACTTTACACATGGTACTCCAAATGTGTCTCTATTAACATCTGTTCAAATACTTACTTCTGCATCGGATAATCCAATGAAAATCATACACCACTGATGATATTACAAAAACGACATGAGATAGTTTTTGTATGAATATAAAAAATTATGAGACAAGCAAGACTTGAACAAAAATTCAAGTCAATGACTTGAGACTTGACTTGACTTGGCTTGGTTTGAATTTTAACTTGGTATTTTCCATTGATGACTTTGCTTTAAAACTTCTTTTTTGGCTCATGACTTGACTTGACTTGTGACAAAAAATAGGTGACTTGCCCATCTCTGCTTTGATTGATAAGTTCAAAGTCAAATTGATAAACATAGTTGCGTGTTCACCATCAAAAATTGCCTTTTTGTTCATATTTTGTGAAAACAAATCTGACTGTGCTATGTTCCTGTGTATTTTAGATTTTCGAAACAAGTCTTAGAGCTTATTGACGAAGCCTGGAATGATGAACCGGTGAGTGTCCCTTGAATGTATTAGATTTATAGTCACTTATTGTAAATGTTGCGTGCTTGTAAATGTGAGTTCTGTTTGTAACGCAACACTTTTATTACGCAATGTATGATAAAAAAGAAGAACAAGAAGAAGACACAGAAAGGAAAAACAATGCGAGTATATATATCATAAGGACACGTGAGATCACACTGGGAAAATACCAACACGTCACGTGTGGTAACATGTGATTGAGAACTGTCCACCTGAACACTTATCTGCTCAAATATCATGAGGGCATGAGCAAAAAAAACCGAATATTTTGCATTAATACGTTTGATTGCCCTAAACTCTATGGAATAGACACGATCAAAGTTAAAGAGTCATACGCCGTTCGTCCAATACTAACGATGCTGATCTTTGGAAATCCACATTCACGCTCGCTCACCTATCTTTTGCTCCTCATTTTCCAAGAAAAAGAATAAGATAGAGACTTTTCCAGCTTTCTTTGTTCTCTCTGACATTTTGAAGAGTTGTGCGAACTTTGATTAACCACCAATTCGATCCCAATTATTACTCAGTGAATTTAACCTTGCCAGTAGAAAAATTATAAAACCAGAATTGGAAGAATTTTTTGTCCCATGTTTGGGCATGCCTTCATAGGTTGAGTTCTACCAATGCTGTCCTATGATATCATACTTTAAGATTTGATCAGCTAGTTCACTCTGAAATATTCACATCTACAAGTATCCAAGAAAGGTTATGAACCTATGAGGAGATTATGTAATGTTTCGGAACTATCAGGAAATTACTTGAAGTGCGCGAACGCGAACGAGGGAACCATCCAAGGTGATATCCGTCGTTTGAGCTCCTAATAGGTCCACAAAGAGGTCTCAGTGGCCTAGGTAAAACATAAAAAAGTTTGTGTCGATGGGTCTTTGGTAGACATGTTAGCCGATAAATTTCTCGGCGGCGGCGGGAAAGTTTTTTTTACAATATATGAGTCAATACTTCGAACGTTTGTATTCTTTAGCAAAATAGAAAAAAAGAAACATTTTTACATCGTGAAAGTTGTAATAGAATTGGAAAGATGCTGTTACTGATTAAGTGTCGCAATTCTATCCAAGGAATAAAATATTTTTTTGACTGAAGAAGATTCATGCAAGACCACGCCGGCGGCGGCGAAAAACTCTTCGCCGAGATCTCATTTTCGGCGGCTGACATGTCTAGTCTTTGGAACCGAGTTATGGCGTTTTTACTGAAGTTTTGACCATTTTTTGACATTGAGCAAAAAAACAAATAACGGAGTTTTGATCTGAAATTTTGCCCACAGATAAATCTAATCATCTTTAGAATATTCTGAAAGTTTCAGCTGAAAAGAATGTTCTCTTGATGAGATATTGAATTGTTAAAAAATAATCACTTGTCATAAACAAGACACAAAAGCCAATTTCGTCACTCCGAGTTGTTTATAGATCTTGAGAATTAAGTTTTAGCATGCACTATCTGCTTTTCATGAAAGAAACATCCTTTTGAGTCTAGCCCAATTTTGTTCTACTACCGAGTTCTAGTCGGATTGAAAGTTTTAGATTGCTCAATCGAGTGGTTCCTCAGAAATCCCGAATAGGGAGGAGATACCTTTAACTACTTCTGAACCAACTTCCGCACCATCAAAACAAGAAAATCAAGGTCTTATTATCGCCTCGTCGGGGACTACGCAGTCGTCAAGTCCTTTTCAGCCTCGTCACAAGTTGGTTTTTATCTGTATTGGTCTCCTTATTATCATATGCTCGAGTATTGTGCCCTTTGGCGCCGATATATGTCTGCGTAAGAAACAATTTCAAAATACTACGTTGATGAACGATCCTTTATGGCCACATCGTCTGAATACGAGATTAGCGGCATACACAATCGAAATGTTTCTAAACCTTCCGACTCTCGTATATTTGCTCTACATCTATTACAGTTGTGTGTTGAAGTGCGATCATATAAGGAGATCTGTTCTTATTAATGGTGATATAAATGATGCATTAAGACAGTTAAAAAAATTATCTCTCAATGTCAGCAGACTAGACAACAGATCAAAACAAATGCTTCAATTACGTTACGCACACGGATTTGCCAGCATGTATATTTTATCTTGTATATCCTTCGGTATCGCTTATCTATGGTATGTACGCACATGGGCACCATCAATTAGTCACGATTTCTTGATCAAATTCAGTGGTCATTTCCTTGCCTACGGTTTTCTAGTTTGCATGATGTGGAGAACAAATGTCATTGTCGATCGAATGAAAGAAACCATACTTCTTGTAGGAAGTTCTGGTCATCCCATGAATACTGCAACTGTTCTTGTCGACAGTGACAAACCTCTTTTTCAATTGGCTGTCGAACGTTGTGAACCGTATGCTTTTCTATGCTGGCGAAAGGTATCCCTACCTGGTGTTCTTGCCACAATTCTGCCTGGAGCAGCATCGTTAACCGCTCGATACATCATCCGACGGCTTCGCTTGTACGAATTGTTCAGCGATAAAGTATGACATTATGTATCATAACTTAACTTCACTAACAATCCTACGAATATACCGAGACTTTCTCTTGACTACTGTAAATAGGCGTATAGTGCCGTTTTTCGAATACTATTTTGGATTTTATATTTATTTGACTAGTCTCGTAAAGTTTCCAACCTATCGATGCACTTCGTTCGATTGAATAACCAAACAAACTTTGATAGCAACATGCCTTATATTTGATTTGAGCCTTGCCTATTTTTTTCTCTGATTATGAACTCTTCCGAAATGACTTTCTTTTCATTCTAATCCTAGTCTCAATCCTGTTCAGTCCTTGGGAAGGTCTGGAAGGATCTTTCAGGATCCTGTATCTCAAGGATCTTGTCAAGTTTTATTCAGAACTCTATTTCGAATCGGAGCAATTCATGTTCCGAGGATTTTTCAAGGTTGAACAGATTCCTGTTCAGGATTTTTTCAAGTTCTTGCTCAGATATTTTTTTGAATTGAGAATAGAGGATCCTATCAGGGTTTATCCAAGATCGTATCAAGGATCCTCTGAAGATTATTAGATAGGATTCCCTGCCAAGATTTTACCAAGTTCTCATCAGAATCTAGGCCAAATCTTCGTATCGAGTTCTTGTCGGGAGTGATAGTCATATCAGACAAGGATCTCGACAAGAAAATAACAAGTACAAGTTCGTTCAGAATACAAAACTAGCTAATCTTGCAAAGCTTCAATCAGGATCTTGTTATTCAGAACTTTTCAAGAATATGAGTTTATAAATCTTGCAAGACAATGTCAATCTTAATCAGAATCTTGATAAGAAAATGTAAAGATTTATCAAAGATTTTTACAGGTTATTGCTTAGTCTACCCCGCTATGTCCATTTCTTGGGACACCCTTGAAGAATCTTCCAGAATCATAAATTTCAAGGATCCTGTCAGGTTTGATTCAGGATTCTATTTAGGATTTTTTCAAGTTCTTGCTCGGATTTTTTTCTGAATTGAGTTTGTAAATTCCTGCTAAGGTTCATTGTCAATCCTAAGCAAAATCCTGACAAAAATCATAGAGAGAATTTCGTCAAGATTTCATTAGGTTTTAGTCAAGATCTGTTCTGGATCCTGATACGAGAATCCTGCCAAGAGTCATGGTTATATCAGCGAAGGATTATACAAGGAATAAAAATAGGTTACTCACAATGGAAGGGTCTGTGCTATAAGTGAGCTCGAGTAGACATATTCGGGTCAAATTAAAGGTCTCACTGCCAAACTACCAAATTTAAGATATTAGCTGCCCTTGCCTTTCAGGGACAGAAATAATTGAATTTTACTGTATTGACATTTTCACTATAGTAACATCAGTATACAGAAATTATATATATCCACCTCATATATAGCCTACTGAATATTTCGATAGTATATATCAAAAATCTTTTTGAGATTCATCGATTACGGTTAAGTACATACTAATTCTGATGCCTTCTAAAACATAAGTGTTATTATAATCTAAAGAAGTGGGCATTTTTTTAAGGCGTAATATTATCGATCTTTCAAATTTCATTTTAATTGACCTCAATATACTGTACAGGATAACTAGTTTCTAGTTCAATACATTCAATACAAATGCAAATGTAAATTCTCAATCAAATGATAGTAAGAGAAGTGTTTTTTACACCAAGTGCAAATTAATAGTGTTCGCTCGTCGCAATTGTTAATTGAGCAATATAGATCATAAAATTTGAAGCAGACATCTTTCGGTTTCTCAATTTCTCCAATTGTTTCTATAATTATTCCAGCTTGTATGAACCCAGACTTAATGAAGTTTTTAAATTGTGGAGCTAATAATTGATTGTGAATGATAGAATGCGTGTTTATGTACTTTTGGCGATCACTTATAATCATTTTCGTTCGATTAATATGAGTGTAATGTTCAATTTTCTTGTGAATAAATCGCCATGAGCGGAACAAAGATAAATCTTTTGGTTGAATATAACCAGTTGATTCTTCAGAAAAAATTAGTAATTGACTATCTTCATTTGGAAATACTGCTCTAAATTTCTCTAGATCAGCTTGAGGTTTCCAAGAATCAAGCAATAGAAGAAATTTTTTACCAACCAAAGACCGTAAAACTTCATTCAAAAACGTGCGATATTTTCCATCGCTACTTTTTCCGGATTTTGAAGCTCTTACTATAATATTTGGTGGTACAATTAAATCTATTTGCACTCTTTGACCGAATTGATTTTCTTTTTCTCGAAGAATAAGTAAGAATTTATCTAATAAACGTCTATCAGCTGATGTAATAGGCAGCACGGTATAAGAGTGCGTTATATTGTTCTTTCTTTTAACAGCAACTTCTGTTGTTCGTTCACCTTTAAAAGAAAGAGTTCTTAGAGGAACATATTCTTGTTGAAACGAACAATGGTCACTGAGTGAGGTGCTATAAATGTATGACAACTATGAGAAATAAAGAGTCAGCCTTAGTGTCCAAACTGCTCACAACTAAAACGAGCAGCATGTATGGATGCTAATAACAGTTTGAGTTCATGTAAGGATGTTCTCGCTAGTTTCAGTTGTGACCACGATCCACTGCGTACATTTCAATACCATATTGTTTCATGTACTTTAATGTTGTAGTAACTTCATCACATTTATCTTTCATAGTTCGAGATAAAATTATTTTAATTGGTAGATAGCGTTTTGTCCATACGGTACCTTTACCAGCAAGATATTGGGCGTATCGTTGATCAATATCATTTGTTTTACCTGCATAATATTCATTAGTATTGTTTTCAACCGAAGAGGAATTTTTTGTGGCTCTAGAAATCCGATAGAGATATTTTCGATATGTACGTTCGACTCTAGGTTGTTCCTTTCCTATGTGTCAAAATTTCAAGTAAATTTCAGTGAGCCTTCACGTCGTTATCAATAAATGCCTACTCCCTTCAACGTGAAAAACCATTAGACTAAAACGAAAATTCAGTTTTTCGCCAAAGAAGTACTTTAAAGAAAGTAATATCTACTTTTGTTCCTCGATGTAGAACAAACAAAGTCGACTAAAAAGATCTGGCCAATTTAACGTTTTTAAGATTTTTCAATTCTTCCGCAAGAAAGTCATGTTAAAGAACTTAGAAATGATATTTACATTATACAACTCGATGAGCTCTGTTCAGCTATATAAAAAAAAAACAGAACGTTTTCTGCTATTTGACTTTCTCCCACATTATCAACGTTGGCATCGTTGGCATCAACGTTGGCAAAAAGATCTGGTCAATTCTAACTTTTGATTTCTTCTATGTCACGAACAGATTATTTGACAGTGCCTCTACTAACAAAATCAGTATTGGTGTGAGTGTCGACCTAGCTAAGGCTTTCGGT